TATGTGATTTCCAGTTAAGTTGGTCGTCAATAATAACGCCTAGAAATTTAGCTTCTTGAACTCTTTTAATAACTACATTATTTAAAGTTAGTATGTTCTCGTCATTTTCTACTTCCTCTTTGGCCCGTGAGGGTTTAAAATGAATAAAACAACATTTCTTAATGTTAATATGTAATAAGTTTAGTTTCATATACTTGTACACAAACGATAGAACTTCATTTCCTTTTTCGTATAGTCTTTTGACACATGTGTCTTCTATAAATATGTTAGTGTCGTCGGCAAATAGTATAAACTTTCCTATAATTGATGAGTTACGGATGTCATTAATATAAATAATAAAAAGTAAGGGACCAAGACAGCTCCCCTGCGGCACTCCATAGACTACTGGAAGTTTCTCGGATTCTTCACCTAATACCGAGACATACTGGTATCTGTTCGACAGGTAACTTGCTATAAGGTTATTTGCATTTCCACGGATTCCATAATTTTCTAACTTATGCAGTAACTTTTCATGTGATATTGTATCAAAGGCTTTACTAAGATCAATAAATATTCCAAGAACGTGTTGTTTTTTCTTGAGGCAAGATTCTACGTGGTTCACTGAGTAATTTAGGGCATAACTGGTCGAGTGATTTTTACGGAATCCGTACTGGTTTTCATATAAGGAGTTCTGTGAATGAAAGAAGCTGTATAATCTATTGAATATAATCTTTTCAAATATTTTACCAAACACAGCTAGCGTTGATACAGGTCTATAGTTTTCAAGGAGTTCCTGGTTATCTTTCTTGTAAATGGGACTAATCCTTCCAACTTTAAGGTCATCTGGAAATATGCCATCTTTCATACATTCGTTATACAGTACAGTGAGTAAAGGAGTAACTATTTTAGAGGACTGCTTAATTACATGAATCGGTATGTCACTTGCCTTGCCATTTTTAAGTTCAGATATGATTTTGCTAACCTCGTCTGTTGTGCAGTCATGCATGTAAATGCTGGAAGTGTTTGAAAGCGGTAGATAATCATAGAAACTAGGTATACTGTTTATGTTAATTTGTCCAAGATCATTGTAAGCGGTATTTAGGTCAGAGGCTAATGATACAAAATATTTATTGAATTCGTTTGCTATGATCCTTCTATTTGTTATCTTAACGTTGTCTATGGTGAACAGCGGCTTTATTTCACGCCGCCGTTTACCTCTTATACGATTTATTAGTTCCCAGGTCTTTTTACTATCACCGCTATTTTCAGCAAATTTACCAGAGAAGTATTCTGTTTTCACAGTTTGACGTGTTTTCTTTAGGACTTTTCTGTATTCTTTGTAGATAAGGTAGCGACTACGTTTTAGTGAGCATTCAGGGCACTGGCAAATGCCGCCCTTGTTATCAGTTTCCCCGAGTTTACATTTTCTATTTCTTATCTCAACCCAATTTTCGTACAGTTTATGCTGATTATTAATTGAGCAAATGAGACCGGGAGTTATCCAAGGGTTAACCTGAACAGTTCTCTTAGAGGTTTTCGGGGTCTCTAATTTAAACGATTTTTCGACGCAGTTTTTGTAAGTGTCATGGAATTCAGTAAAGTTATGGATTGTTTTAGTTTTAAGCTCATCTTCAAGATCCACTAGGAAGCCGTTAACATTTGATTGACAGAAGTCGTAATACTGTTTAAAAGAAGTTTTTTCAGAGTTGACTTCAACATTCCAGTTAAATGTGTTAAAAATAGGTGAGTGATGAGTTATTCGTTCTTTTAGGGTGCCTGAAGTAATCACATTCTCAATATCGTTAGTAATAATGTTATCTATGCAGGATGCTTTACAGCCTGGTTTTTCGTGGGTAACAATAGATATTAACGGACAAAATCCTTTACTGAATAATATTTCTTCATATTTTTGAACATTTTTGTTATCTTTATCATGAAGATCGATATTAAAGTCTCCAGCTAGATAACTAAACTTCGGCATGTGATCAAGAAGGTTAGAAAGTTCAACTAGAGCTTGGGAAATACAGCCACTTGGTGGACGATACAAAACACCTACATTAACAGGTTGATCTTCGTTACTTAATGATAAGACAAGTATTTCTAGATGTTCTGTGACTTGTGATATATTCTCAATTACAGTAGCATTTAATTTATCGTCAACATAAAGGGCTACTCCAGTGCCCTTTTGTTTGTTAGGTGCTGTGTCCTGATAGTAACTATTATAACCGTCGAGCTGAAATAGATTGCTTAATTCTTTTCCAGTGTTGGTTTCAGCTAGGGCTATTACGGAGAATTTTGTTTTGTACCTACAGGTTTCAATGGCAAGGTTGTCAAAATTTGATTTATTTCCATCAATATTTTGAAAGAGAATAGATGATTGTTTCTTTACTTGGTTGCAGAGAATATTTGTAAGGTCAGATGCAGTGTATGAGTTACAATCATTTAAAGTATTTGAGATTTTGGTTGTGTATTCGTCTAGGTTGTTGTCGTCGTCGTCATTGTCAGTGAGTAGTTTAAATGGGTTGTATTTAACCTTGTCTAAATGGATACAACGAGTACAGTAAAACTCATTAGATTGGCTATTTGGATTTGATTTGCGATAGCATTTATGGTGCATTATGCAGTCACAGTGAAAACATTCAACTATTGTTTGGCCGATGACTATGTTCTTAGAACAGACAGGACATACCTCCTTAATGAGGGGAGTCATGGTTGGTAACCATCCACGTGACCCTGACTAGCAGCAGCAGGAACAACAGGACCAGTTTCTCTTCCAGCAGTCGCATCCCTGTAGGATCTATCGTCTACCCTTGTGGACCTCCTCTTCCTTTTGTCGATACCACCGTTAATCCTGAGAAGAACAGTGTTACGAATAAATTGACCTAACTTTGCTAGTCCCCTCCAGTTGAGGTGAAGGAAGTCCGGTTTTTGGTATTTGTTGAGGTCGCGAGAGAGAGAGCGGTCAAGGAGACCATCCCTATCACAGAACTCATCAAATCCATCCACATAACTGACACCAAAATTGGACGGGAGCAGCCTACATCGAATCAAACTGTTAAAGTATATAAGCTTTCTATTTAAATCAGCACGTTTAGAAGGAATTGTTGGACAAACATATACATGCACACCCGGATTAATAGATTGAATCTGGGCAATTTTTGAAACTAGATGGTTGTAGATTATATCAATATCGTTTTGGCTTTTTACATCTGTTTGTTTCAGGTCATTAACCCCACACAATATAACACAGTTTCTATAGCCACAGGACACATAAGGATCAATGCTATCGACAGTTGGGGCAAAGAATCGTTTTCCAGGAAGCCATTTGCCGAATGACTTGGCAGGATCAGAACCGAATTTCAGTCCGCCGGTGTTCGAGTCCCCAATGATACATGTAGCGTTTCTATTCAGGGAACTGACTGATCTCAATGTTATACTGTAGCGCAGCCCAGTTATCTCGCCTGCATCGATACGATGGTGGAACAGTGCTTGGCTACGACGAGTCATTACATATAATGATCCTGGGCCACATAGTTGCTTGTGCTCATCAATACCTGTACTAGCATCAGAGAAAGAAACATGACATGCAGTACCAAGAGAGACTGTAAAGATACTTGATTCCGGGTGGATAGAAGGCTCGTTATCAGAGTGTCTAGGCAAGGTGCTGCTTGTGCCGTCAAACCGATTCACCAAACAGCTGTTAACCTGAGGTTGGTCACCTGAACAAAACTCACTGTTGATTCTGTCGATGAGTTTTCTCAAGGGTGGTGGTATTGCCTTTGGTGTCTTGGACGACTTAGATCCAGGATAATCGTACCGTTCCCCATATGATAGGCAGGAGCGTTCGTTTTCAATTTTGAAGTCTGTGCTGCTCAAATCAAATAGGTCAACTAGTTCTTCCGCAGTCTTCTGATCTATAAAATCGTTTTTGAACAGTTCCACAGGTTTCTGCTCATGATGAGGTGGCTGCAAAAGGACAGGTGGTGCTGGAGGACGAGGATGCTGTGCAGGAGGTAGGTTGGGAGGAATGCAAGGACCAGGGTTATGCAATGGCTGTATAGAACTTATAGACTGTTTTAGTTCAGCAATGCCTGCAGCTACAGTGGGCTCATTTGCAGAAAGTGCGGTGAGTTGTTCTGAGATGCTCTTCAGAAACTGCTCAGATGAGTCTGTAGATGGGGATGATTCAGGGGAAGGTCTAGATGCTAAAAGTTTAAGGTCCCTCTGTAGTTCAGCAATGTTGGTATTTATTGATTCTAATGATTTGTCATGGAGCTTTATTTCATTATTTAGGCCATTAAGGGAGTTCTCTTTAAGAAGCAGGTGTTGAAGGTGAACGTCGAACTGGGAGAGAGTGTCAAGGTTCCTAGAGAACTGTTCGAAGTCAAATTTTTCAAGAGCTGAGCCTGCTGAGCTTGCTGATGCCACAAGTGCACTGACAGCTTCAAAATCTGAGTTGGCCTGTTGCAAAGCCCTTGTGTTCCTGCAGCTGTAACAAAATTCGTCTCTCTGTTTCTTCAGTGTTGATACTGGTGCCACGAAGCAGTATGGGCACAGCCATTCTACCATGGAGTTGATAGCTGACCTCGTTATACCTTTCATAGACAGGCAGTCCACATGCCACTCTTGATGACACTTAGAACAGTCAATGAGGTAAACTTTACCGTTAAAAGAGCGTTGACATGGACATTTCTTCTTGTCCCTATGTTTCCTGTTTACCTGATCTTCATTGTCCACTGTAGATTCGGCTAAAATGTTGCGAGACAAGCTATTAGATGTTTTAGGAGTACCTGAAGCCTTCCTAGAATTTGACGCCATTTTCAAATCAAATGTAAGTAATACTGACCAAATAGATCCGACTTGGGGTCGGCTCCCGTTAAGTGTTTTGTTTTGGAGGAGATTAGGACTTCAGAGTTGATGACCCTAGTAAAGTGTAGATGACCCTAATAGAGTGTAGAATGTAGATGACCCTTAGCTTAGTACGCCCCTTCGGGGGAGTTGTAACATACCATTCCTGAACACTCAAATTATTTGTTATATAGTAGTGTTGAAAGTATTAAAACAAAGAAAGCGCCACACATAGCTGAATAGGCGCGCGTCCACCGGCTGCCCCCGCCTCTACTGATAATGGTTAATAAGCAAACAGAAAACAACAAGAAGAAGCTCAGCCTGAATAGCCCGAAGTTCAAGACGCCTGAAATCCGGAGTCCAATGTACGGCAAATCCCAGGGTAGCACCACACGGAGTAGATCCAGGAGTGAAGGTGACCAGAAGAATGTTAACTCAACATTAGCTACCACACCGACAAGTTCAGAGAACCGAAGCCTTCTGCAAGTATCCCTTCTCAACCGCACGGGAGTATCACCAGGAATATCACCACTAGCAACCCCCTTCTCAGATACTGAAGCAGAGACCTCAGCCTCAGACAGCAACAGTGCATCACCGAAACCCAAGCCCAAGAAGAGCAAATGCCCCTGCAAGGCAACTTCAGGCGGGAAGTCTTGGCTCTTGACATGTTCGCGCTGTAACCAAGTCTGGCATTCTGCTTGTGCAAACCTTAAGGGCAGTGAACTAGCTGGCCAGAAAGCCATTGATGAAATACTTAAGAGTTGGGAATGCCCTTGGTGCTACACATGCCCTCATCCCTGCCCAAAAACACATAAGTCTGCCAAACTTGCATTAAAACTGGAGTCTTTATCAGAAGCAAATCAGGTGTCAGCATCAGTTATTGAATCTCTTGACGGCATGCTTAAGGCAAGATTTGCAGAAATCACCCAACCATCCAACAATCTGATTGATAGTATCCAGAAACAACTCAGCTCCCTGTCAGATCAGGTAAAGTCCATGCAGATCCCTCAGGCACCACCCCCACCACCCTCTGATATGCCCTCCACGTATGGACAGCAGCATCATCCAAGAGCACCTCCATCAGTTCCAAGGATTGAAGTAAAGGATACCCCCCTTACTCATAATTTTAAATGCATAGAAGGGATAAAGGAAGATTTCTTAACTCCTGATGAAGAGATGGAGCTCACAGACTTTCTCAAAGCTGAGAGTTTCACTAAAGAAGGTAAGCATGCCACAATCCAGTATGGCCAACATTACCACTACATGGGTGCAAAATCGGAACCAAAGCCCATGCCCACCCTGATTGGCAACATCATGAAACGTCTTAACACTGAATTCTCCTCCACACACCCCCAGAAACAGTTCCACTATGACCTAAACTCCTGCCTGGTTAACAGGTATGCAGATGGGAATGAAGCACTTCCTGAACATTCAGACAACGAGGGAGACATTAATCGGGTGTCATCGATATTCACAGTTTCCTTAGGCTCATGTCGAACACTTAGCTTTCGTGAAACTTCTACAGATAAGATTACGGAGATAAAATGTCAGGGTAGAAGCATGTACCATATGACAAAAGCAAGCCAGGAGTTTTTTAAACACTCAATCAAGCCTGAAACGTCTGATGAAGTAGGAATGCGATATAGTCTAACCTTTCGCTCAATCCACTGGTCAAATTTTAACTCCACAGTGCTTGTTGGAGATTCAAACTTTGGACAAATCAACTTTGGTACAGGTCGTGGAAAGATGGGACAAGCCACCCCTGGAGTTCGCCTCTGGGCAGCTACGGTTGAGGAGATCGATCCCTTGTCTTGTGTAGGTTACAGAAACATTGTCATCATGGAAGGAACCAACAATTTGAAAGTAGATGGAACGGATGAGAGAGAGTTGTATACCAAGTATAAGAACAAAATCGCTCAGATTAGGAAATACAACCCACGTTGTAAACTGATAATCTGTCCTGTGCTGCCAACAAGGTCGCATAAGATCAATCGAAAAGTTAATGTTTTTAACCAGTATTTGTACAACGATCTCAGTCAATCTAATCTTAAAGTTCTAATTGTTGATAGCTTTTTGACATTTCTAGATAAAAGCACCAACCTGCTTAAGAACAGTCTAGCTAAGTCTGATGTGAATGATATTCTTCATATTAATGGCAAGGGCGTTGGTGCACTAGTCAAGTTAATTAAGAACTGTATTTTTACATCCAAGGATCATAACAAGTTAGTAGGTAGTAGATTGTACAGCAACACACTAAGAGGAGGACCGCCAGATGCAGTCTGATATAAATGTTTAAGATTAACTCAACTAAGGAGAAATGCGGATGCTGTAGCAAAAACATTAATATTGGCCAAAGATTTCTTGAGTGCCAAAGTTGCCAAAATATTATCCACAAAATTTGTTTCAAAACATCTGAATTTAAGCTGACTGATTCCATACTTCTCTGTAAAGTTTGCTCAAAAAGAGAAAACCTAATTTACAACCCGTTTAAGGACCTTTGTACCACAAATGAGGATCTCTTCAAGGATAGCGAGAATGACAAATTTTACTCCGAAAATTGGTCTGAGGCTATTGGAAGTCTTCAGACTGCCTCCTCTATCTTGGACAAATGCAGCTATTATAGATTGAAATCCTTACACCAGCACACCCCTGAAAACTCTGGCTTAAAAACTTTATTTTACAACATTGATGGTAATAAATCGAATTTCGACTTATTCCTCTCGGAACTTGCCACTCAAAAAACGAAATTTTCTATTCTAGCTTTAGCGGAAACAAATACAGATGCTGAGAACTGTGATGTTTATGCACTTGATGGATATTCACACTTTTACGGAGATAAACTCCAAGGCAAAGCTAAAGGCTCAGGCGTGTGCTTGTATATTCATGATTCCCTAAATGCAACAATTAATGACCAACTTTGCACAATCACACCAAATTTAGAAACCCTATATGTAACTATCAACCATGGAGATAGCAAACTCAATGTTGGGGTGTTGTACAGATCTCCAAACGGAGACTCAGTCAAATTTGATGAAGAATACACACAATTAATGTCCAAATTTCCAAAAAATGCAAAAACTATAACTCTTGGAGATTTCAACTACGATTTGCTTAAAAATCAGAGTAATAAGAAACAGGTTCAGAATTTCGAGAACACTATGCTCTCTTATGGTTACTTTCCTCTTATATCTCGTCCCACTCACTCAGTAAATGTAGGCCAAAGCTCCTGCATTGACAACATTTTTACTGATGAGATTGACTTGGTAACCCTCTCTGGAGTTATTGAAGACACTTCTTCCCATCATAAACCAATCTTTGCTTTCTTTGACATCAGTCATTTAACTTCTAGGAAAACTCCCCCTAAGCCTAAGCAATTGCAAAGCTATGATTTCTCAAACCGAAATGTTGAACTACTAACAAAAAACTTGCTATCTAAGAAATGCATACTAACAAACAATGAAAATCCAATTGAATTTGACGAATTTTTTGAAATTTTTAGCTCAGCTATTGACTCATGTTGTAAACTCGACAAACCCAAACTCACCAAACGAAATCCTATAAGTAATCCCTGGATATCCGACAGCATAATTGAAGCAATTGAAAAGAAAGGTCAGCTGTATGATAACTGGGTGAACTCAAAAAAGCTCCCTGACTTCAAGCCAGTTGGAGATCTGAAACTCCACAAAATTTTTCGTGATTACAGACGCTGTCTTAAAAAGATAATAAAAAACCAAAAAGATACCTATAACTGTAACAAAATTCTTGAAAATTCTGATAGTTCTAAAAAGATGTGGGAAGTAATAAATGAGATAAGAGGGAAAAGGAAAAAAACCATCAAACCCCAATTTATGGTAGATGGAGTCCGTGTTGTTGAAAGACGGGTGATAGCCAACAAATTTAATGAGTATTTTGCCTCTATTGCCTCAAAAATGAATGAAAATACTCAAAATGGCCTTCTTTTAGAACCTCTTCCCTCTTTCCTCGAATTCATGCCACCAAAAACTCTCGATTCAATTTACTTCCATGACTGTAGTGAAGATGAAATTTCTGAGATTATAGCCAACTTGAAGAGTGGGAAAGCTAGCGACTTTCCCATAAGAGTAATCAAAAAACTATCGGGTATTCTTAGCCCAACTCTTGTTGTTCAATTTAATCGCCTAATATCTCAAGGGATATTTCCGTCAGTTCTGAAGCTTGGCAAAATAACCCCAATATACAAAAAAGATAACGAAGAACTGATTGAGAACTACAGGCCTGTTTCCACACTTCCAATTTTTGGCAAAATTTTTGAAAAGATAATATACAAACGTCTTTACAGCTTCTTGGTTAGTCAAGGAATCCTTCACGACAGTCAATTCGGATTCCGAAAGAGTCACTCAACATCACATGCACTTAACTACTCAGTTTTTCACATCCAAAAGGCCCTAAAGCAAGGTCTGCATGTTCTAGGAATTTTTATTGATCTAAGCAAGGCCTTTGACACAATAGACCACACAATTTTGCTTGAGAAACTTGAAATATATGGGATTAGAGGAGTGCCACTTAAGTTACTGGAAAGTTACTTGTCGGACAGAGAGCAGTGTGTGTTCGTCCTGGGCGAAGTATCAGACAGACTTCCTGTTCTCTATGGCGTTCCACAGGGGAGCTGCCTTGGGCCTCTCCTGTTTTTAATATACATAAATGACTTAACAAACTCTCAACTCGATAACACTAGCTATGTCCTATTTGCTGATGATACAAACATATTTGTAGTTGCCAAAACTAGAGCAGAGGCCTACAATAATGCAAATAGGGTCCTACGATCAGTCCACGAGTACACATTGGCTAATAAATTACATGTTAACGCCAAGAAAAGTTGCTACATAGAATTCAATACAGCTAAAAGAAAACTTGATGATCAATCTTTATTAATTGAAAATAGACTTTACCTCAACGGCCTACCTCTCTCAAAGGTGCAGGAAACGAAATTCCTGGGAGTAATTGTCGACGAAGGCCTAACTTTCAATCCCTATAGAGACAAACTAGTTAGAAAACTCTCGTCCTGTTCTGGGAGGCTATACATGATTAAGGATAAAATTCCATCATCTACCCATAAGGACCTGTACCACACACTTTTTGAAAGTCACCTATCTTATGGCATTACCGTTTGGGGAGGTGCAAGTAATAATAAACTTCAACCACTATTTGTAGCCCAGAAAAAGT